CTCGACTGGCTCGACTGGCTCGACTGGCTCGACTGGCTCGACTGGCTGGCTGCCTTTAAGCTGGCTGACTAGCCCTGCTTTCTGCCAGGCTGCCTGTGAAGGGTTGCAAGGCCAGCAGGCGTCCACAAAGTAATGCACCTACCACGAAATCTGCACTTCAAGGTCGGCAGGGTACTGCACCTGCCACGCAATCTGCATTGATTTGCAACTAGTCATTGGTTCAAGGGTCCTTCCACGGACCCTATTTAGGACCCCTCCAAATTCAGGGACGGACTATTTAAACAAATGCGGCCAATTTTTCCTAATAAGGGGGAAGGTGTGTCTTTAATAGCTGGATAGGATTAGTGTGTTCATTCTCCCCGAGGTCTTCAACATGCATTTCAACTGCGCAGGCTCGCAGGATCTGGTGGGCGGGCGCAGGTGTTTTTCGAGGCTCTGCCTCCGCCTTGTCGTGGTGCTGTGCGTTTTTTCAGACGTGGTGCGGTATTCGGCGTGCGCTGCTTTGGTGACATGGGCAAGGATTTTTCACTTTTGGACAATTTCAGAAACCGGAGCAAGTCTCATGCGAAAAAAATTGCGCTTTGGCATCTTGATGTTATCGCTGCGAATCGCGCTGGCAAGGCCGCGTGGTGGGGGGGAACGTCCAGTTTAATTGACTTTGCGAACCTTGAGGTGCAGACTTTTGGGCAGGTGCAACATTTCGGAGACTTTGACGTGCGTTCTTTTCGGCAGGACACTTTGTGGACACATGGGAAGTGCTAATTTCTTGGCACGCAGGAAAGGTACTTGGTGGACTTTGTATGGCGCTTTTCGTGGAAGGCGCAGTGCTTAGGGGACTTTGACGGGCTGTCGTGGGAGGTGCGTTTGGTTGGGGGGACCTTGGGGCGCAGAGTTTGTGGCAGGTGCAGCGGTCCGTACACTGGCGTAGCAGGTTGTGGACATTGGCGTGGGCATGTTTACGTCTAAATGTGTGTTACCAATTTCCCAACAAGTTTGATGCAAAGTCAAGTTTCGAGGTCAAAACTTCAGGCGCCGCAATCGTCTGAACATGACATCGAATAGACAAGATTTGGATTAGCTTGGTGCGTGGTCTTACTTGGCTGCCTCACTGGCATGTTCTATGTGTCATTCTTTGCATTGTAAGTTTGCAAGCCCCAACAACAACAGGCTGCCATGAACTCTTGTGTGATTGCCAAGCCAAGGGACCAGGTCTCACTGCATGCCACTTAGTAGGCAGAATCAACTCAGGTTGAGGCTCAATGCAATTAGTGACAGCTAGGTCACAAGCACAGTCAGAATGTATGTTTGTTGCTGGACAGCAGCCGCCGCAAGTCAAGTTAGTTAGCCAGCGGTTTCAGCCGTTGTCACTGTCACTGTCCGCCGAGAGGGCATTTGGCATTTGGCACTGGGCACTGGGAATAATTTGGGCAGTGGACAGCTTGAGGCCGCGACAAGACCCAGTGTGGTTTATGCGATCTACTGCTAGCTGGATGGAGGTCAGTGCGTAAAACGGTTTCAGCCCGCTTTTGCGCAGCATTAGCAGTCAATCTTTGTCCATGTCCTTTTGGTTTCGAGTTCGGTTTCCATCATGATCATATACGCCCGTATATATCCATTATCGGTCTGACACCATCCCATCACATTCACATATCTCTATTTCCAATCCACAACAAACTATTCTTTTCTGGTCATTCCCTGCTTCTGCCAAAGTCTTAGTCATAATGTCCGGGCTCAAACGCAAGGGTCCCATTGAATAAAGAAATCCAACAGCCGTTGTGAAGAACCCTTCTTTTATTGTCTACGTTTTCCACCAAGGAAATGGAAACCAGGTCTGGCCAACAAGAGTGAAAAATAGACACTGACCACTACGCACAATGTGCAGTCGGTGATGCTGAGTGCAGAGCCTTCCTGATCAGAAGTTGGCAATGTTGCCATTTCAGTGGTTCCGAGACGGTGGGTCGTCTCCAGGGCGTCATGGGCAACCAGGCGCATCCAACGTTTTGGATTTTTTCAATGGTCAGTTTGGCGCAACTCCCTTTGCAGGTCCCGTTTGAACGCTGCGGGACGTATTGAGCCTTGAATGCATTCAAAGAGAAGACCGTTGTCAATTGTGTTAGCGTTGCGCGGTGGAGGTGTCTTAGATTTGACATGTGCGTGATCAGGCCAAGCGTGCCAACCAGCGGCAGATGGGTCGCTTCCGTGTGACGGGCCAATATCGACGTTTGTATGTTTGGAATGGTCTTGGGCGTCACGCCTGAAACACCGCATGCCTTTGTTAGGTTCCAGCGGGTATGTTGGTTCCGAAGAGTTCGTGGAAACCAGAGAGGCTCGGCATCCTTGCTGGTACTGTGTGAGTCCTTCAAAAGTTGACAGTTTTCACCTTTCGTTGATAGGGAATTGTGCCTGAATGAAGGTGAAACAGATGCATGCTTGGACATCCCCAGCTGGAACGCCGCGAGGTGGGAGGGCCATCAAGACCTCAAACCTACTTTCAGTATTTTTCAAGCTGTATAGTCACCGACGCTGTTCATCCATCCTGACTTGTTTTGGCATGTTTTTGCCAATTAGAAGAGGCGCAAGTTTGAGTCAGTGCACTTTCATTGTATTCCTTGTTCGTAGAGTGTGCCACCACGCCACATGTTTAGCCTTTCAACTGAGGTGGGGAGCGGCCAGCCACAGGTTTTGCGCGCATGGGCACGACCAATTTGGTACAAACTCCGAGCCAAGACGCGCCCTCAGTCTTCCAATCCTTGCAGTCAGGGCCAGTGGGGAGTTGCAGTTTGCTGGTAGGGTCACGTAAAGGTTTCCCAGGCAATCTTTGAGCACCGAGGCCGCGATTGGTACGCCGCAACAAGTAGGAGCTGGAGACACAGACTGCACAATGAAGACAGCCTTTTTCATTCACAATCTATTTGCGGAAAAACCGTTTCAATCCTTTCTGCGTTTGACACGTTTTGGCCCGAAATCTTCGAGCAACACATTCTGCCGGCTCCAGATGCCGCTGCAAGGTGTTGGAAGGCTTGCTTGGCAGGCATTGGTGGGAATCGTATTATTAACCGCCCGCACCGCATGGGAGCTCAAAGACTGCAGTCATGCTCCAGGAACGGGTCAAGGTAGGTACTTCCATTGAACATAGCCCCAGAAGTCACCCCCCTCCCCCCAACGTGGCCGAACATAGCTTCCATATTGCCTAACATAGCGCTAGAATGTGGGAACGTCGCAAATTGGTGTATTGAATTTCCGCAGGTAGCTCGAGACGTTCGCCGGATATTTGGCTCAACAGGAGCAGAGATAAGGAACGGCAACATTTTCTAACGTCCGGACATTCAAGTCCCTATCTCGCGGACACCAAATATGCGGACATTCAAGTCCCTATCTCGCGGACACGTCCTTTAGATAGTGACTTCTAAAGCTATGTTCAAAGGAAGTTTAGTGTGCAAAACTTCCGTGTTACGGACATTCAACAGCTGTTCAACCACCCCACCACTCATCATACACCACTCATCAAACCACCACTCATCATGCACCACTCATCAAACCACCACTCATCATACACCACTCATCATACACCACTCATCAAACCACCACTCATCAAACCACCACTCATCATACACCACTCATCATACACCACTCATCATACACCACTCATCAAGCCACCACTCATCAAACCACCACTCATCATACACCACTCATCAAACCACCACTCATCATGCACCACTCATCAAACCACCACTCATCAAACCACCACTCATCATACACCACTCATCAGATTTCGTGGCAGGTGCAGCAATTTGTGAACCTCCAGGTGCAGATTTCGTGGCAGGCACAGCACTTTGTGAAGCTCCAGGTGCAGATTTCGTGGCAGGCACAGCGCTTTGTGAACCTCCAGGTGCACATTTCATGTCAGGCACAGCACTTTGTGCACCTCCATGTGCAGATTTCGTGGCAGGCACAGCACTTTGTGAACCTCCATGTGCAGATTTCGTGGCAGGTGCAGCACTTTGTGAACCTCCAGGTGCAGATTTCGTGGCAGGTGCAATACAAAATGCGTTTTCGAGAGATAGCGGACGCACGAAATGCTGCATTTTTCAATAGAACCGTGGCTTCGAACCTGGCAAGTCTAGCTCTGCGGAACGACGGTTGCGAGACGGTCTCGGATCATGGTCGGTCGGCCGTCCATTGTGATTAGGTTTTCACTTGTCTCTTGAAGTGCAGATTTCGTGGCAGGCGCAGCACTTTGTGAACCTCCATGTGCAGATTTCGTGGCAGGCACAGCATCTGGGGAGCTGGAAGCTGAGAACTGGCGACATTGTAGTACAACTTTAGTACGCGGAGCAATTTGTGAGCTGGAAGCTGAGAACTGGCGACTTTGTAGTACAACTTTAGTACGCGGAGCAATCTGTAGAGCTGGAAGCTGAGAACTGGCGACTTTGTAGTACAACTTTAGTGCGCGGAGTATCTGGCGAGCTGGACGATGAGAACTGGCGACTTTGTAGTGCAACTTTAGTACGCGGAGTATCTGTGGAGCTGGAAGCTGAGAACTGGCGACTTCTAGTGCAACTTTAGTGCGCGGAGCAATCTGTGCAGCTAGAAGCTGAGAACTGGCGACTTTGTAGTACAACTTTAGTACGCGGAGTATCTGTGGAGCTGGAAGCTGAGAACTGGCGACTTTCTAGTACAACTTTAGTACGCGGAGCAATCTGTAGAGCTGGAAGCTGAGAACTGGCGACTTTCTAGTACAACTTTAGTATGCGGAGCAATCTGTAGAGCTGGAAGCTGAGAACTGGCGACTTTCTAGTACAATTTTAGTACGCGGAGCAATCTGTAGAGCTGGAAGCTGAGAACTGGCGA